ATAATTAATTAGAATAAAATATCAAATTACCTCATAATTTGCCCACAGTAAATTATGAATAAGTATACAATTTGATAGTTTTATTATAAAATTTACTTTAGACTAGTATCATATTGTTTTCATATTTATCTTAAGTATGAATTAAGTGCATAATTTGATAATTCTATCATAAGTAACTCGAAAGGAGGAAATCGATTACATGGGGACCTTCTCTCCGATATCTAAGAAATATTCTCTACGTATTATTTTGACATTAGTAGCGTAATTTGACCTTGAGTTACAACAAATGGATGTGAAAACGTCATTTCTCAACGGTGATTTAGAAGAAGAAGTTTTTATAAAACGACCTATAGGATTTCCCTCTAACAATGGTGAGCACTTGGCCTATAAGTTTAAATCTATATATGGTCTAAAACAAGCATCCCCTCAATGGTATTTTAAATTCCATGGAGTAATTTATTAATTTGGATTTGTTGAAAATCTTATGGATCAATATATATACCAGAATGTTAGTAGGAGTAAGATTTGTTTTCTTGTTTTATAAATGAAATTTTACTTACAACAATGATAAAGGTTTGTTGCATGAGGTGAAACAATTCTTCTCTAAACATTTCGATATGAAGGATATGGGTGGGGTATCTTATGTCATTGGCATTAAAATTCATAGAAACAGATTATGAGGTATTTTGGGTCTATCTTCGAAAATTTATATCAACAAAATATTAGAGAGATTTCAAATGAAGAACTATTCACCAAGTGTAGCTCCCATTGTGAAGGGTGATAGACTCAACTTGAACCAATACCAGAAAAATGATCTAGAAAATGATCAAATGAAGAACATTTCATATGATTTCGCTATCGAAAGCCTAATGTATGTTTAGTTGTGCACAAAGCTTGACATTGCATTTGTTATAGGAATGTTAAGACGATATCAAAGTAATCTAGGTATAGACCACTGAGAGCAGCAAAGAAAGTAATGAGGTACCTTCAACGAACTAAAAATTACACGCTTATGTATAAACGAACGGATAATTTGCAAATAATTAGATTTAGCAGATTTAGACTTTGCTGGCTGTGTTGATTAACCAAAATCATCATCATCATCATCATGGTATACTTTTATGATGGCTGGTGGAGCTATATCATGGATGATTGCCAAGCAAACCTTGACTGCTACTTCTACTATGGAAGTCAAATTCATTTTCTATTTTGAAACTACTTCGCATGGTGTATGGATCAAGAGTCTCATATCTGGGCCATTGAGAATTTACTGTAACAATTGGTTGTTATCTTTATGGCTAAGAACAATAAAGGTGGTAGTCGAAGTAAACATATCGACATTAAGTATTTAGCCATATGAGAACGTATTAAAGAAAAAAGTGGTCATTGAACACGTAAGCACTGAATTGATTTCGCTAATCATTTGAGTAAAGGCATGCCATCATTGAAATTCAAGGATCATGTAGAGAAAATGGGACTTGTTTCCACTATTTAATGATATATACAATTTTTGTATGAAACTTTTACTTATTATGGCACTTTCTCATCTTCATAGGCGCCTAATTTGAGAAAATACATTTTTATAGCATCAAGAATAAGACATATGGTCTTTTACATTAAGTATTGTTACCACAAAAAAAGTAATTCTTGAGGAACTAAATAAATTGTAATACATGGAAGATAAAACTCGTTATTAGAAGACCCATCGCCGTGATTCATGTGTTTATTTCTTAAGAAGGACAATTGATGGTGTTGACCTCAAAAAATGTGCCAACAGAAGCCCATCCTCCTCTCCTCCACATAAATATCACCTGCACACTGGAACACCTTGTTGGAAGGCAAATGGTCGTTGGTTTATAAGACTCTGATAATTCGAGAGCTATTCGAGGGATATTTATTCCTCACCTCGCCAGATTATTATTCTTGGATTCGTGGGATGTTTATACCCCACTTCGCGAGATATTTATTCCTTGCTTCTCACCGTTGTCAAGTCCAGTTTTAAGACCTCTTCTATTTGAGGCTAGCATATAAGATATCAAAAGTTTGAAATGAGCCACAGCTCGATAGTCATTCTTCGCTTTGTAAGATGCCTAATCTTACGCGATATTGTATTACAACTGCATTCATCTTCAAAGAGCTCAATATCCCTAAGCATCGACTATATTACAGCGACCTATCTTTCAGAGCTTTGTTTAAGCTTCAACTATGTTACATCTACTAATTTTCAGAGAGTTTATATTATTTACCGCTTCGTAAGAAAATGGGTAGGCCCATCTTAATATCTACGAAGAAGCCTTTCACGACTGGATCAAGCACTACGGAGGAAGCCCTCAATGCGCCTTCCCCATGTAAGGATGCCGGCTTATTATAGCTACTTATGTCTAGAGGATGGCCTCTGCTACTTACATTCAGAGTATCGCATATGCTACTTATACATTCAAAGCATCGCCTCTGCTACTCACATATTTAAAGCATCGTCTCTGCTATTCACATTCAGAGCATCACCCCTACTGCTTATGTCTAGTGCATCGCCTCTACATCAGCTTATCACAACTGCTTATATATTTAGTCTCATCTTTATATCAACTTCGTTATAGTGGCTTATATTCTAAGTCCGATCAGCATATTAAAATTCGACTCAGACTTGAGGGACTATTGGTAGCATGTCATGATACTATTTTCACTACTGTTCGTACGTATGTCACGTTATCTACATTATCAACATGTTGCTTCACTACAACACTACTATTACATTAAGTTGTGTCAGAATATATGACACATGATAGGCTTTCTGCATATTATATCTTGGAGAAATGTGTTATATCATTATTCACGTTATCATCATGAGTAATTTGAGGGGGCAAATGGATCCCGATTTATTTTATATATGTGTGGCGGAGATATTATGTTGTATTATATGTTGATTTAGTCCATATTATATATGAGATGTTGCTGAAATTTTGAAAAATTATATGTAGCATCTATCTTTTGAGGCAATTCGTAAGTCCTCACTTATTCAGGCTCGCACATATATTTTTTGAGGCAGTTCGTAAGTCCTCATTTGTTGGAACAATTTATATTCTCGAGGCAATTCGTAAGTCCTTGCTTATAAGTAATCGATAGCATCTTTAAGTGAGTGAGTTCTGGTACTTGACACATGTTCAACACCAATAAAACGTTCCATTACCCATCCTTTTTTATTTATATAATGTAAAATAATTGACATTTACTCCTTCACTAAAACATGTCGAGATTCATAAACAAGAATGTAAAACAATCCATCACCAATATCCTTCATAATAACATTGAGTGTTTCAAACGTAATAGCATAATATCATTTTGAATACTAGGTGTTATATCCATAAATTACGTGGTATGCTCAGAGGGAAGGGGTCCCATATATGTCAACATGGTATCAACATTCAATTGATCGAGCTATTTAATTAAACAATTGCATCTTGGGCTTCGCCCATTAACCACTGGCCTATTAAATTTTTTCTATATATATGTAAGCTCATTCACAATAAGGTATGTTTTCTAACCCTATCCAAATTCCCTCTTCCTCTTTGGCATTCATTTTTCCTCATCTAGCAGTTGACTTGACCATCGGAGTGTAAACGGTCGTCAGAATTTTTTCTCGACTAGCAGCCTTTGCCTCCTAATGGGCTATTCAATGTGCACGTGATGTCTATGTGGAGGGAACGTGGGAGGGATTCTGTTGGCACATTTTTGTTGGTCAACAGATGTGATTAGGTTGAGACATTAGGTTGAATGTAGGGACCAAGTGGAAGAATGTAACCTATCCATTCATTCCCGTTTCTTCAAGGAATTGATGGTCCACATTCATGATTTCAATTTTCCACATTTACAAACAACATTCATGGGTTTCATTTCTCCATTGATTGGAAGAGAACATTAGCCAAAATTTGATGGGGTTCGGGCTATATCTATATATAGATGTGTTTGGTCTTTAAGCTCCACTACAAAAAATACACATTATACACTGTTGACCCCAAAAAATGAACTCAACAGACGTCGGGTCCACTCTTGCCAAGTCAAGTGCTAGTCCGACACGTTTCTATCGGAATGGGAACGGTGGTTTGACTGTAATGAACGTAGGAAGCATTTTCGAATTTTCGATCCAATTTGTTTCCTCATAGTTGTTTTGGATCAATCTTTAGTCTAACAAGATCCTCATAAGCTATTGTAGATGCAAGAATTGTATATGTATGTTGGATTGATTTAAGGGTTAGCTACACTAAAGGTGGTCCTTGTTGGCTTGAAATAACAATTTATTTTGATTATTTCAGATGTATTTAGTCTTCTGAAAATTTGTTGATTTAGTGTCTATTTGACTTTTTAAAGATATATTTGGTTTGTGGGTTGGGGTGCAAGTAGTCGAGGAGGTGGTGGTGGTGTGCTGTGGATTTGAGGTGGTGGCGATGTTTTGGGGTGCCAGTGGTGGTGGTGGTGAGAGGTTGTGGATTTGAGGCGACTAATGAGATGGACTTGATTTATTTTATAGATGATGGCAAAGATGTCAAATGGAGCGAGCAAGCTAGCATTTTCACCTGTGTGCAGATCTCATGACTAGCTCGTGAGGTGAAAAAAATTAAATTTAATTTTGTGGCTTATTTTAAAATTTTTTATACTGTCAAATAACATATTCTTCTAGTTACCAAAACCCTTGGGCCTATCTTGAATAGAGGAATGCGTGAATTCATCACCCTCAAACTAACATATTACTTCCTTTGTGCTTTAAGTATCCTCGTCAAAGAAAAGTTACGATGATTAAAACGATTGATTCGATCTGTACCAAAAGTAATAATTTAATATCTACTATGCTATAATTAAAAATTAATTTACGATATTAAAAGAGATATAATTGCGAATAATTTATTTATTATGTTGTTGAATTTTAATTGTAATTTCTACAAAATTTACAATCTTAAACTAAACTACCACAATTCTACAACTTCGAGTATCCTAAAAAAAAGTTCTATATTATTCTTGATCGAAATCAAGCACGATTGAGTATGATGTTCTCGGTCGATTGGATCGAACTATAGTAGTGTCAAGTAACTCAATTAATAATCTTATTGTAGCTAGCGTAGCAGGAATAACTATAGTCCATAGATTGAGATCCAGGATAGATAACTACTTAGTGAAATCAGCTGTTGCAATACCGATAATGTATTCAATCTCCTCAGCGACCTCCTTCATAGAAGGCCTGTTTTGTTTGTATTCGTTCAAGCATCGTAAAGCCAGAAACCCTAAAGCCTTCATGCTCTGAAACCCCATGTTGCTTACTCCTTCCCTAGTCAACATTGGATCAACCACGTCCATTATCCTCTCCTCCTCCACCAATCTCTGCACATAAGTGGCCAAGCTCACGTCATCCTCCTCTCTATTGACATCAATAACTTTCTGAGATGTCAATAGCTCCAACAAAACTACCCCAAAGCTATAGACGTCGCTCTTATCTGTCAATTGGAAATTTCTGAAGTACTCGGGATCAAGATATCCAACTGTACCCTGAGCACAGGTCGATATGTGACTCAAGTCTGTGTGGACCAATCGAGATAATCCAAAATCCGAAACCTTTGCATTCAACTTTGAGTCAAGCAAAATGTTGCTGGATTTCACGTCCAGGTGATAGATTCGGGGAACTGCAGCGAAGTGAAGATAAGCTAGTCCCTCAGCAGTTTCACGGGCAATGCCTAGTCGGCGAAGCCAAGAGAGAAATCCCTGCTTTTTACCTCTTAAATGATCGAACAAGGCTCCATTCTCAACGTACTCATAAACCAGTAATGGTTGTTCAAGCTCAACACAACAGCCAAGGAGGCAGACAAGGCTCCTATGGTTAACTTGACAAAGTATTCGGACCTCGTTTAGAACTTGTTCTGTACCTTTGGAGTTACCTAGTTTTGCACATTTGACTGCCACAATTGTTCCATCTTCAAGAATTCCTTTGTAGACTTCACCAAAACCACCAACGCCAAGAAGATGGTCTTTGGAGAATCGATTTGTCGCCTTCTTAATTTCTTTTCCAGTGAAAAGTTTTGCTGATTTGCCACCACCAGCATTAAGGATTTCTTCACGTTCTCGAGTAAGTCGTTCTTGCTCTTTCTTGATGCGCTGGTGTCGCTTGTATAATAAAAATTTAACCAGTGCTGCTAAGAGTGCTACAGTAAGGCCTATAGTTAAACCTGCATCACTCACATCAGCCTATAGAGATTTTTGCAGATTATAAATGTCAAAGAACTTGAGACACATCAAATCATAATACGGGACAGTCACAGGAGAAATCATAAATAATTGGAAAAGAAAAAAATCAAGAAGAACTACCAAAATATGCATAACTTTCAACTCGAATGTCGAATTTTTGTCTTAGTACAATTCGAAAGCGTTTTTCAATGCTGCACATTTTTTTATTTGGAGCCAAATTCCGTCGTTTAGAGCTCTATTTTANNNNTCCGTCGTTTAGAGCTCTATTTTAACATTTTTCTGTTTTGAGTCAGTTTAAGGGTATATTCGTCATTTTTACCGTATTTTAGTTTTATTCAGGTTTGTTTAATAGTTTTTTAATTTATCTGGATTTGTTTATAGAATTAGAATTTCACTTTGATTATGAACTGTTTTGAGTCTATAAATACACGTTAATGTTGTAAAAATAATTCATTTGATTTTTTATTAATAAAACATTTTAGTGTTCTCATTTATTGGTGGATTCGAAATAGTTATCACATCCGTTTGAACGAAATTTGAGTAAACACATGTTACGAATAAGATACTTTTATTAATATAGTTAAATTCATTTGATTTTTTATTAATAAAACATTTTAGTGTTCTCATTTATTGGTGGATTCCAAATAATTATCACATCCGTTTGAACGAAATTTGAGTAAACACCTGTTACGAATAAGATACGTTTATTAATATATTTAAGTTTCTACCCGGCATCAAATCAACAGATCCAAGTCCACAAAAATTATTCAAAAAGAAACCACCTTTGACTTTAATTGCTTGTTCAGATTCACATGAATAGCAATACATGGCACAAATTATGAATAGGCTCTCCAAGTCTGTCTCCTTCATCGAACTTTCTAGATAAGGATATAAAAATCAAATCCGTTCGAATTAGCTGCAGATTCAGGGGCAATATCTCCTATGCTTACTTTTCTCGTGATTGTTGACATTGATTCTCTTTCATATTATCCTTTTAACTTGATAAAATAGTCGTCATTCTAATGTATTGACGTTACAACACAGCAAGTTAGATTTATGGATTTATTTTTACTCGGATATCGAGGAAAACATTACTCATATTGACAAAATTACATTTAAGAGGAGGATGATAGTCGAACGTCTCTCCTTTCTCTTGCCCACCCTAAAAAAGCTTTGTCTATAGCCTAGTCTTAGATAATTAATTCTCGTCTGTGTATTGTCTCTCTTTACTATGCAAGAGTCATGACAAGGTCAGAATAACATTATAAGACCACCAATTAGGGACTTCAGTCTTATAATCAATCTCATTTATAGTCAACCAAACAAACGAAAAATTAAAAGATGATTTATATGGTGGAGAAACCTCATTCAAAGTATCTTCAAGCTAATAAAAAATCATAGCCATCTAAGAATATGATTGACGAGGTACCTGTTATAAGGGCGATTCGAACTTTATCACGGCCATCCGGCACTGCATATTAGATTTAAACGAGCTAATCAGAAGACATTTGCAAAACTAGAGTGAAAAAAATAATCCCAAGAAAAGTTCTGTACAAACAAGGATTTGTGCAACCAACTCCAAATTTAGTACAAATAAAGCTTAGTTTGTTAATGTAAACAATGGAAAAATTCGGAGATATATAGTGAAATGTAATGCAGCAAGCATGAAATCTAGTTTCATATATAATGATTTTATGACTTGTCTTAAGTTTATTTCACTGGAGGTTAGTCCAAGTCCCCTCGTAACTTGTACTTCAATTTATTTTAACCAGAAACTAGAAAAGGAAAGCAAATGAATGGCAAAGTTGAGAGAACTCACCTTTAATACACTGTCCAACAACCGAGTCCCATTGCAACCCGGAGTTGCAAAAGCATCTTTTGATCAAACCATTCGAGTTCGGATCGGGACTACAAGTGGATCCCGAATCGCAATCGCCTAGTTCCCCACAAGTGGGCTCTCTGGGCAAAAGCCACTCCAACTCCACTCCAGGAGCCGGCCATCTGCTCACCGGTAAACTGGAATCCAAATTCACGAAGCTCCGGTACCCCGCGCAACCACTCTCCTTGAACCCTAGCGTGTACCTAGTCACCGAGGCTCCCGCCTGCAACGCACAACACACCTGCGTATCCACGCAGCCATTCCTGGTCGTGCCATCGATGTACACGTGACAGAGGTTGTTGGAGGAGCAGTTTAAGGGGGATATCAAGATGCTGGTGGAGCAGTTGAGGAAGAAGACGGTGTTACTGCTGGTGATGTTGAAGGGGGCGGAGGAGTTAAGTTGTAAGCCATTAGAGGTGAGCTGATCGGTTGTGATGCAGGTGTTCGCGAGGAAAGGTGAGGGTTCAATGGTGAGGCGTTGATTGGAGGGGGAAATGGAAGTGATTGGGTAACTGTTATTGAGGGAGTCGAAGAAAAGGGAGGTGGCGTTGCACCGGATTTTATACGACTGGTCACCGCAGTCTGGAGCGGTGCTAAGAGGATAGGGAACTGGGGTGGATCCGCAACTGGGGCAACCCTTTAGGGAGAGTACACATACGGCGTATGTTAGTATGACCGCCGCTGATAAGTGGAGGCGTTTGGAGGTGGTGAGCGCCATATTGGCTGCCTACCTTCCTTATGATTTTGGGTGTTATATAGTGGAAGTTTGGAGGTGGTGAGCGCCATAATGGCTGGCTGCTAAGTGTTGGTATGTTTCGTTTTCCGTTCATTTAATTCTCGGGGCACAGGCACGGGCAAGGGTGGTCAGTGGCACACTCAAAAAATCTGATTTTTTTTTTTTTAAAATTTAAAAAATGGAAAAGGAATCATTAACAAGAGGGACTGATAAGTGTATTTTATACATTTATTTGAGGTCCTAAAATATCGATATTTGGTAGACAAAATATATCATAAATTGTTGTATTTTATGTTATATATGTAAAATCAGTTGTTCGACAGGAAATCAAAAGAAAGAAGCGAAAAATGGTGAAAATAACAAAATCCAAAGTTTGAGAATCAAATTCCGAATTCAATAGTTAATTTGGACCACAAACTGATACTTTGAAGATTGTTAGGAGACAATTGGATTGAATTAGAATTCAAAAAGGAATGGAATATGATTAAAATCAATTTTCAATCACACAAGTTATATTCCAAATTTTTAGTTGAGGATTGGGATCCATTTTTGTCATAGTCAAAGTCCGAATTGGAAAAATTCCGTTTCAAGAAAATTTGTAGCTCTTTGAGCTAGCTTTCTAACTCACTTTGAATCGCCTCAATCGAATGTCAGGAAAGAAAGTTATGGCCAGCTTATTGATTGTTGTGTGGAGACAAAAAATCCGCGCACGAATGAAACTTTCTTTATTCGATTAGAACTCTTTTGAAAACTAATTTGGACGTGATTTTCAACCAATTTTCGATTACTACAAATACAGAATAGAAGAATACATATGGAAGACCTCTCATATACATGTTGTACTCCAATATTCATCAATTATTATCATCAAAGGAAGAGAATTCGTAATTTTTGTGAGAGAACTAAAGAAAATTTGCAGGAATTCAATCAATTGAATATTCAAACCCGATTTTTGGGCAAAGAAGATAATGCATAAGTGGAGATTCATCAAGAAACCATTGAGGAGATTTAAGATTTCAAGATTCATCTTCATCTTCTCAATTTATCAAAAATTCGAGTGATGTTTTTTCACTTAAATATGATATCTTATAATTTCAATATGTTAGGCTAAATTTATACATTGTTAGGATGAGGTGAACCCTTCTTATGATATTAATTTTTAGTTTTTAATTAATTATTTTGACTTTAATTTGATTTGATTCGATTGATTTGTGGATGTTTATTATT